CACCAGCATTGTGGAGGCTACACCGATCACGAGGGAACCCATGAAGGAAGATCAAACAACTTGTCATGACCCATAGTGACAGTGGAAGATACCTCCGGAGAGTTCTGGCTTGATTTAGTCAGCTCTTTGTGCAATTGCAATAACTGAAATCTCGTCCGATTACCGCTTCCATATACATTTTTCGGTCATCACAACCTCGTCCAACCTCAATTTTTCCTAGTTTTGAGATTCCATATTTTTCTCGAAACCGGCGGATTCTCTCGCTTTCTTCAGTATCGATGAACTATTCCCAATCTATACTTCCGCTTTTCGAATCAAAATGGGGTACCTCAAAGTTATCGTGAATTGTGCCTTTAAGAATTTCGAGGGCAAGCATTCAGATTCTGACCGAGAATCTGTATCTTTCTTGAATTGAATAATGGAGGGACTTCATCTAGGTCTTCTCTTAGTTAGGCTAAGGGGTTCTTTTTTCTAGTTCCGACTATTAAGAAAATGATTCGATGATTTGCTACAATTTTCCCTACACTTTCTCGTTTTTCAATCTGTTTAGATGTTGATGCTTTCCTGTTATATCATCATCATTTACAGATAATCTCCCTTCAGTTATACCTGTTGGTGATGCAGTGAGAAAGTGAGTCTAAATGAAATTCCCGGATGTTTATATCGTGGCCTAAGAAGCAGTAGGTGTTCATCACACGTCTGCTTGCCATTCCATCGAAATCCATTTCATTAGGAAATTCTCTGAATGGGCCGACACCCTCGAAGTGATAGTCAAAGTTTGTGCAGGGTTATGCAAAGCTTGCAGTGTGGGGCAAAGCTAACACCAACAGACAGCAATCAGGACTTCAGCAATATCAGGCAATGATTGTTTCCATTCAAAAAACAACTTTCGATAAAACGATAACTATTATATGGCTTGTAAATGAGACTGTTGGGAAGCCCATAAATCGGAAATTTCTGGACAAAAACCAAACAACCGTCTGGAAATCAATGTTCAGTTGTTTTTCCAAATAGCTATACCCCTACTCAGATGACTGCTCCGAACCACATAAAAGCAGCGACAGCACATTGGCTATAGCACTCACAGTTGCAATATGATAACAACAGGATCTATCCTGCTGATCCTCGTTGCCGTAGTGGTGAGTTTCCTTCTAT